AGTGTGGTTCGAGTCCCAGACCCAGTGGCTTAAACTCATGCTGGGCATGTATGCGTGGGTGCCCAAGATCCCAAGAGGAGAATGGAGGAGAAGGGATTGCAGCGTGGCCATCCCCCATGGGGGGGGTGATTTCTGGCTTTCTATCTCTCTGTCTCTCTGTCTCTCCATTTCTGGCGAGCACACATGCCCTATAGCAAAAACCTCTCCAAAAAATTTTTTTAAAAAAGTTATTCTAAAAATCCATCACACCAGCGCCAATGAGACTGCCTGCATAGACCCACCAGGGCCTTAGACCATAAAAATAAGCCAAAAAAGCCCCTCCAGATAATACTTCAAAGACAAAAACAACAGCTCTACTTTAGTCACTCCAGATGCTGACTGGTCTACATACAATAAAAGTTTAAAAAATCTACAGCCCTGGAGAAAAGCAGGGGGCCTGAGCTCCCGGCAGAGGTGGAGGAGGCACTAAAGCGACTTTAGAGCCAGAAAGGAGTGCAGGGACTCATTGTGGTGAACACAGAAGGCATTCCCACCAAGAGCACCTTGGATAACCTCGCCACCACACAGTACGCCAACCTCACGCACAATTTCATTCTGAAGGCATGGAGCACTGAGCGTGAAATCAACCCACAGAACGACCTGACCTTCCTTCGAATTCGCTGTAAGAAAAATGAAATTATGGTTGCACCAGATAAAGACTATTTCCTGATTGTCATTCAGAATCCAACCGAATAAGCTACCATTGGCTCCCTGTATCATTTCTTAATTTAATGCCCCCCTAAGAATCATGTCACCTGACTGGCACTTGGAGCCCAGTCACGCCAACCCGGTAACCGAGGGTAGGCTGCCACCCCAGTCGCTCCCAGAGTCCCTGGGGGGGCCTCTTTCCTCACTGCCAGGTTTTGGAGCAAGAGTTTCAAGAGTGAGAAGCCCACGCCCAGCTTCCTTCTGACCTTCATTTCACTTTGTCGCCCTTGAAAAAGGCTGTTTTTCTTTAAAAATATCTGAACCACTTAAAAAAAGGAAAAAAAAAATCTACAGCCCTGCTTTAGTCACTCCAGAGACTGACCAGTCTATACAGGACAGACAGTTGAAGATACATCTCCCCAAAAAGACACACATAAACTGTCCTAAATACTTTCAGACTGTTTATAATAATCCCCTAGTCCTAACTCTCTTTAATTTTTGCTATAAGCCTGGCTACAACAGCTCCCACTAATAAAAGATAATATAAAAATCTCCTGCTAGTGTTTTCCTATCTGTCAGATGTAACAAGTTTCACCACAATTCAGTGCCTCTAAGTCAAAAAAGCCCCTCAATCATAATCCCTGTTACTATAATCATCCTACTTCCTGCTGAGAGCTGTCCTCACGTTTCTGGGGTCAACTTGCCAACCTGTTAAATGTATAGACAGTCAATGTGAGTTAAAAACACTAAAAAACCTCCCAAACCTCCCATCCCTTGTCTTTAAGTAAACTGACCAATTAATGTTCACAGCCAAAAAGTCTGTCCAGACAACATGTTATTTTTTTTTAAAGGAATTATTTTATTTAACTTTATTTATTTATTTAACATTGACCAGAGACGGACAGAGAGAGAGACAGAGAAAGTAAGCCACCAGGTTTGGGACTTGAATCATGGTCAGCCATGTAGGAGTCCAGCACCCTCAACCACCACGCCACCTGCTCGCCCCAGACAACATGTTATAACGAAGCGAAAACTCACAAATACTCCCATCACAACAAAATATACTGGATAGCCCAATCAAAAAAAAAAAAAGCTCTACCTATTCCTAAAGAAAGAATACTGTTTTTATGCCAACAAGTCTGACATCATTAAATACATGGCCCAACAACTTCCTGACCAAATGACAAAAAAAAAAGCCAGGCTGCTACAGAGTCATAAAAAAGTTAGAGCAGCCTTTGACAGTGACTCCCTGATGACGGCCCCCTCTTAACAGTACTCCTAATCTTAACCCTCAGGCCTCGCATATTAAACCTCATGACCCGATTCATCTCCTCCAAAATAAAAACTATTAAATATCAAACGCTACTTACAACCAAAACAGTGTACCAACCAATTAACTCTCCTTAACAGATTTTTTTCTTTTTTTAGCTGTGAAATATATGTTTTTTCAGATACTTCTATAGTTGTACAACTGACTCATCACAAATTACTGGATTAGGAACCAGCAGTTAGCGTAATGGCTATGTCACTGGACTCCCACGTAGTCGACCGCGGTTCGTGTCCCGGACCCGGTGGCTTAAAACTCACGCTGGGCGCGTGTGTGTGCATGCCCAAGATCCCGAGAGGAGAATGGAGGAGAAGGGATTGTGGCGCGACCATCCCCCCTGGGCGGTGATTTCTTGCTTTCTGTCTCTATGTCACTCTCTGTCTGTCTGGCGAGCGCACGCGTCCTATAGCAAAAACCTCTCCAAAAAAAAAAGAAAAACAAATTACTGGATTAATGTTACTTTACTCCTTCAGGACCCAGGTTTATCAATGATTTCACATTTGGAGTCTTCAAACTTGAAGCTAGGGAACGTGTTCCTGTCTGCTTTCCCATACATCTGCTTTGGCTTAAAAAGCTCCCTCTCCAGATCTTGCTGATATTCTGGGCCCGTATCAAGTGCTCCAGTTGTCTGTCATTTAGATTTGTATTGTCTAATCTTGTCCACTAATAGTTTCCGTACAGGATCAAGTTCCTTATTAAATGCCACTGCTGTGACACCAATGTTCCTCTGCAAATCGACTGAGACCTCTGCTCGAGTGACAGAGGAGAACCTGAAGAGTCTCTGAAGAATCACGGTCACTGTTACTTGCACTCAGTTCCCAGCTGCCAGAGCCACCGCTGTCACCACCGTTCTACTTCCCCTTAACAGATATTTTTAAAAATCAAAAGAAAAAAAAAAGATAAAAAATGGCCAGCCAAGCCACCTACAATATATATATTAAAAAAAAAAAAAAAAAAAAAAAAAAAAAAAAAAAAAAAAAAAAAATTG